GTGTCATCTGAAAGAAAGCTAAATTTAGGTGATGAATTTTAACCTAAATCTTCTGTTACTCCAAATGATTCAGTTTCCTAACATTTCTGCTCCTTCTCACACCACAGTGGGAATCCCGTCTATCAAGTGGTGTGGAGCGGAAGGCGACTACAACGTCATGGTGATGGAGCTGCTGGGTCCCAGTCTGGAGGACCTGTTCAACTTCTGCTCCCGCAAGTTCAGCCTGAAGACAGTCCTGCTGCTGGCAGACCAGATGGTGAGACCGACTGGCCACAAAAAGCCTAACAGCTCATCAGGGCTTCTTTTTTTCCACCTTGCACCCTATCATCTGCAGTAACTAATCACGTTAAGAGCTCAAATAAGAGCTTCTGTGCACTTTGTCAGAATTTCATACCATTTTTAAAACACTTCCTCAAGACTGAGACTCGTCTGAGAAATATATCACTTTTCTCTCACAAATGTCACCTTTGCTTGCACACGGCACATTAGAAAGTTACAGAAAATGTTATCAGAAGTTGTTGCCATGTTAAAGCTCAGAATAAACAAATCATTTAAAACCCGAGAAGAATTCCCATCTAAACAGATGAAGCTTGTTTTCTGGCCCGAGGCTCAGCGTTAGTTAAGAGTCTTTCTCCTCTCCTCTAATAATAACTTTCTCTACCCCTGTAAAACGACCTCTGTATATCTGCAGAAACGCTGGCAGGGTTATTGATCAAAACCAATGACTCGACTATTATTTCATCAGCCAATGAGACTTTAAAACAGACTTTCAGCTCCAGATCAAACTCTCTGTAACACTGAGTACATAGAGAGCTGCAGAGTCGTGGCCCTGGCAGTCGATGCAACTAACTGTGTGAGAAGGAATAACTGCTCGATGCTTGTGCACACGAGGCCTTTGTCTCGTACTTTTAAACAGTGGCTGCTTTATGTTTTTGTGCAGTAAAGGTACAGCGCCTCTCTTTTTGTTGCATTCAAGGACACTTACATTTAAGATACTGTAGATGACTCCTAAAAGGCAATAAAGACAAGATAATCCAAACTGCTACAATAGTTTTGCATAATCTGCATGGTTCCCTTTTCTCATTAACATGCATACGTCCATCTTTTACATACAGTCTGTGGGCTAAACCTGAAAAACTGCTGTTTACCTTCATGAAAGGAAATTTTTGCTAACTGTGCCTCAGCATATAAGATAACTAATGAGCCCCTTTGTCTGTCTTCAGATCAGCAGAATCGAGTACATCCACTCCAAGAACTTTATCCACAGAGACGTGAAGCCCGATAACTTCCTGATGGGGCTCGGGAAGAAGGGAAACCTGGTCTACATCATCGACTTTGGCCTGGCCAAGAAATACCGTGACGCCCGGACTCACCAGCACATCCCTTACCGTGAGAATAAAAACCTAACCGGCACCGCCCGCTACGCCTCCATTAACACCCATCTGGGCATCGGTAAGGCAGCGTATCTGTCTTGTTGTGTGTGTTCTGCGGACCCCAATGTGATTTTTCTGATTCCTTTTTATTAATTGTGACATGATTCTCAGAGCTGTAGCTTTTTCCTTTCTTTCCCTCCATTTCCTGCTGTTTCATTCTCTTCTCTCTTTTCGTCCCTTTGCTCCGTCTTTTTCTCCACAGAGCAGTCGAGACGTGATGATCTGGAGTCTCTGGGCTATGTTCTCATGTACTTCAACCTGGGCTCTCTGCCATGGCAAGGACTCAAGGCTGCCACCAAGCGGCAGAAGTATGAACGTATCAGTGAGAAGAAAATGTCCACCCCTATTGAGGTGCTGTGCAAAGGTTACCCATGTGAGTAGCTGTTGGAGTGGTGTTCTTGAGTGCAGTAAAGAGGTTTTTGCAGTTTTTCTGTCAGGCTGTTCATCTGACTTTACTCTAAATCTTCTGTCTCCTATGTTTCCCAGCTGAGTTCTCCACGTATCTGAACCTGTGTCGCTCCCTACGGTTTGATGACAAGCCAGACTACTCTTATCTAAGGCAGCTCTTCAGGAACCTTTTCCACCGACAAGGCTTCTCCTACGACTATGTCTTTGACTGGAACATGCTGAAGTTTGTGCGTGTCGCGCTTGGACTTGGACGATTTATCCCTTTTCTAGCAGACTTTCTCATCTATGCTATTCCTTTGTGTCTCAGGGGGCCAGCAGGACAACAGACGATGGCGAAAGGGAGAGGAGAGAGGGGAAAGATGGAGAGGAAAGACCAGGAGGAGGCCAAAGAGGAGCGGGAGGTCGAGCTTTGCCGCCGGGTCCAAACCCTTCTGCGGCCAACAGAGTGAGGAACGAGGCAGACGCTGCTCCTCCTAACCCAGCTACGCGTGGGGTCCAGCAGTCAGGTTCGGGTGTTGCTTTCTTCTGGGTGTTGGAGGGCAGCAGCAGAGTTCAGGTTTTCATTTTAAGTGTGTGTTTCTGTGTGCTCACACAGGTAATCGCTCTCCTCAGGCTGGGAGAGCAGAGCGAGCTGAGCGAGAGAGGAAGGTGGCCATGAGGCTTCATCGCGGGGCCCCGGCTAATGTCTCCTCCTCCGATCTCACTGCACGCCTCGACCAATCACGCATCACCACATCGCAGGTAGGAAGATTAGCACTGTGTCGTTCTATACACTCAGGACTGGTGATGGATATTCAGACATCACCTCACACGCAGCAGATGGCCCCGCCCCTCCTCGAGCCTGGTTCTGCTGGATTTTTCTTCCTGTTAAAAGGGAGTTTTTCATTCCCACTGTCGCCAAAGTGCTTTCTCATAAGGGGCGGTCTGATTATTGGGGTTTTCTCTGTATTATTGTAGGGTTTATACCTCGTCATCTAAAGTGCTTTGAGCTGGCTGTTGTTGTGATTTGGTGCTATATAAATATAACTTAATACAGTAAACTAAGACAGAGAAGCTTACATGTTATGCAAGCATGTGTAGCACACAGGAACTACAGGGAACTTTATGAAGCTTGACCACAAATAATCTGCAGCAGGTGTCACTCTTTGCTCTTTTGAAACAATTTTTTTCCCTTATTTCTTCTTTTTTGTGGAGAAAGTGGACGAGAAGAGTTTGCACTAACTTAGATTACTGCATTTTCTCATTATATTGGCACTCTGCTCTAACTAGTGATGCATATCTGAAATACTGGAAGCAGGAAAATAGTCATCATTAATCAACTTATAATTACCACCAAAACATGAAGAGTTTTTGTTACTGTGGAGCGTAAAGTCAAATATGATATGAAGGCAGACTAATTCTCCAAGGCCTTCCTTCAGTGCCTACATCCTGTAGCAGTGACAGCAGACAACCTGAATGACCACTCTGAGCTCTTTAAAGATTCTTACATGAACCAAACATGAAATTCAAATGGATAAAATATGACTTTACATTGTTCACTGACTGAATATTTTATAATGTACTTGTATATAAAACAAGGAACTTAATTGTCCAGACTATCCTATGATCTTGACAGGTAATAAGTAGGCACGTCAGGTTTTTTTCAGTGTCTGTCCTTTGTTTGCTGCAGTGAATAAAATGATCCAAACTCTATGAAGGCTCGCATAGTTCATGCGTAGAAAGGCTCTTTTCTTTATTTTTTAGCTTTTGCCTTGTTTTAATCATCTCGTTTTCCCTCCTTACTCAGGTCAGTGTGCCATTTGAACATCTGGCAAAGTGAGTTCCTTCTCCCTGGCCTGCAGGTCAGTGGCAGGTGAGGACATGTCTGACACATACTCACACAGACAGCGTTTCTTTTATTTAAAAAAATAATAAAATCCTTGAGCTGTAATTGTTGCATGTTGTGTATAATATAGACATATAGAGTACAGCAGACATTAGACAACTTTAAGATGAACAGCAGAAGAAAAAAAGATCCAGCCACAACACAACAACTGGCTTTGTGATTTAATCCATGTGTTGGATGTGTTGAATAAGGACACAATTTATGTACTTTTTACTACTACACTGTTTAACTGTAAAGTTGAATTAAGCTGGAATTCGCTGTGATCCACAGAGCTATGAAAATTGTCTTTGTCCAATAAATTGCGGCCGTTGTTTTGCCGCTCTCCTCTCCTCTGTTTCACGATGTATGTTTATGCGTGCACCTCCTCTGCTGGTGCATGCTAGACGAGGCCAAGGGATAAAACCATAAACTGTATATAAAAAGAAGGGTGTAACCACAAGCTCCCATCACCATCACAGGGATAGTGTAGTTTGAAAATAGATTGTCACGAGTCACCCTACACGCTCACACGGTACCAACTTGTCAAAATAGCGCAGCCACACTGTAAAACGTACCCTGGTTTTCTGGTCTTCATTAAGATA